ATTTTATTAAGGTCTTTAATATGAAAGTTATGATATTCATTTGTTTGCTTTATTTATCTTTAGAAATATCGATCGTTGTCATTGAGGTGGTATTTATCAAACATTCCAATCTGTAATTGTTAATTACAAGTCAATTCGCGTTGAACATCGCAAGATCAATTATCTGTTGGAATAAATAGTATGTATTTTATATATTTTCTTTTCGTAAATAAACGCAAGTTCATCTGATTTCTGCTTTGAATGAAATTTTTTTGTAAATATTTTTGTCAATCATTTTTCAATAGTTTATTTTTGTTCTAAAGTCAGTTGAACAAAGATATGGAAATAATATTTTTGTCTCCAAGATAATACTGTTTTCTTAGTCTAACTTTATTCTTTGACCATAGGCCTTCCTCCTAGATGTGGATCTAGTTACTATGATTGTCTCTAACCCACACTCAGATACACATCCACACCCTTTCATTATTTATTTGGTCATGTACAGAGAAACTACCAAATATTAGCCAAAAAATACTCGAGTCTGAATATATCAACTACAAAAACGTGCGCTCGTCTACTCTCTATTACTTGGAATGTTAGAATGAAATTATATGTTAGATTAGTATGGGTACTATTCCCAGGATGATGACATCTTTTTCGATACTACTATGTTGTAGTATTATTCATAAATATCTAAACACATTCATATCATTATTTTATAAACATGTTACTTACCTAATTTAGCAGTGAAGTGGACTTCAATCTCTTCTAAGCTAAAATGATCTCACAAATACTTTTGGCAAAACTGTTACGTTCACTTACACTAATAGTTCAACTATTTGCTTATTTCGTTCTAGTGCCAAACAACCGAAAATCTGCTTCTGAATTATTCCACAAAGCAGAGCATTTTTTTCTTAATCTGAATTTATTTCCATCTGTTCCACCAACTACCCATGAACATCAACTTCGAAATCAACGCATTTCAACACGATTATTCATCTTTTTATTAACTATATCATTATCTACCCTTCTCTTATATACATCACTGATAAATATTACAGAAACAGTTAATGTCAAAGCACCGTCTATTATAGAATATGAACAACTCTATAACTTATATAGTCAAACATTAACATGTGAATGTACACAAATATCTATTAACTATGAAAAGTTTATTCAAATTCAGTACACATTACATCAAGTATGTTACAGTGATTTTGTTACACAACAATGGTTTGATTATCTTGTCGCTTGGCCTGGAAACGATGGAACATTTTATGATACCTTTCGAGTGATGGGCGTATTTGTATTTCAAGCCTTATCTACACTCTGTATCCTCGTTGATCGAACAATATTAAATCGTTTAACTCAGTTCAATTCAACTCAATATGTAAGTGCATTTGTAACACCTTCAAATGTATTTCAATTACAAACTGATGCATTTGTTTCTCAATTCCTATCGTCAACAACAAATGAATTTTTGCTATCATTAGCCATGATACGAAAAACAACTCAAGGCAACGCCTTAGCCTCTGGGCAATTCACTAATTACAGATTCTATTTTGATTCCGATAGTGATTTATTTACAATATCTGCACAGTATAGTGATTGTACATGTTCTTCATTAGCCACATGCATCGATCAATTTGCAGTTGTGTATTATCCTAACTTCACGAAAATATTTTCTATACCAGGTCTTTATACGGGATGTTATATAATTGAATCATTACTTCAGTCTGATCTGCAATGTTT